ACACACACACACACACACACACACACACACACACACACACACACACACACACACACACAGGGAGGTTTGGAGCTTACAGCACATCCATGCATGTGCATCAGTTCAATTGATTAGCACCAACTAACAGCACACAGCTTTTCATTAAAATGCTGAGGAGCAAGGACACAATCACATAATGACACAGAAAGAAAAGAGGCGCGTGTGTGTGTGTGTGCGTTTGATTGGATGATTCACACACTTAAAATAATAAGATCTGTGCAGGTCAGCACGAGCAGAAAACGCAGACAAAAGCCATTCTGAAAGGCTTCAGCACGCCTGCACATACCACGTCTCATGTCTGAGGGAGGTCAAGTCACTTTCATTTCTATCAGTTCATCCCAAATACTGTAACAGGCGTTTCCATATTCATGACAGAAAGCTCCTGCTTTCATTAAGGGCGCTGGTTCTTAATGGAAGCCGTGTTTCTCTGTTTTGACTCGTTCAATTGAGCCCGAATGAATCGAGCGCCTCCCTCCCCGTGAATAGCGGCTCAGTGGTACTTATCCTCATGTCACACATTTTTCTGACCATTTGTTCCCTCGCTTCACGTTAATAATAAAGGCACCGCTGAATGGGGACTAATCAGCTGCTACACAATTATACAGATGATATAACAAGGTCAGGGCTCGCTCTCATTATGAGCATCCCGAAGAGTAGCACTGCAGCACTCCAGCTCTGTGTTATTTAATGGCTTGTGATCTGAGTGGGTTTACTGTAAGCACAATTCCTCAGAGGCTGAGCCACAGCGATGATGCTCAGGCTGGCTGGGAGGTGGGGAAAGGTCAGTGCGCACCACAAACAACACAATCCTTCAGTCCATTTACCTGCACAGGTCCAATGCTTTTGTTCCTCCCTCCAGGCATGCCGTCCTCTCTGATTGCTACATGTCAAAAAACAGGAAAAAGTCATTTGTTCCGTTAACCAAACATGATCGGTGTCACAGCTCTCCCTAGTGGCTAAAGCACATCAGGCAAAACTGTCCCACCATCCAGCTCCAAATACAGCTGCTGCTGGCGGGCAGTCATATTGTTTTGGTACAAAGTACATTTCATCTCATAGTCTTAGTGTGTGTGAGTGTTTCTGCAGTGTAGATAAAATCGCTGTGATTAGTGTCTGACTGGGTGAGTCCCAGTCTCATCTCCATTCTAACACAGGCACTTGAAGAATAAGGCCATGAGGACAGTCACTTACAAGTTTTAGCCACATGGGGGCAGCACATGTCTGTGGAAGGAAAACTGCAGCTTAGAGTGTGTGTGTGTGTGTGTGTGTGTGTGTGTGTGTCCAGGAGGGAGAAACAGATTTATTGGTAGAATTGACACATTCAAGCGTTTCCAGGTTTCCAGGTTTTGCGAGCAGCTGTTTGTTTGGCTCACAGATAAACGGAGCAAAGTCCCGACAGAAGCAGCTCTGGCCACTCAGCATCTTAAAAACCTGATTTTGACACATCTAAATTACAGGGGCGGATCTACACACGGTTCATATACACAGTCTGTAACCTCCTCATTTACTCATATACTTTGTACTGTAGAACCTTTTCATAAATAAGCAGGTGGATCTAGAAGCTACTCCACGTGAGGTTCTGTTACGTGCTTACATTTACACAAATCTGCACTGTGCACACAGTTTTACCAAAAACTTAAACCTCATCTTTCAGGCTGTTTTTGACTACTTTGTATTTCACCTTTAAAAACCGTTTAGCTCGTCTTGAATAAATAAACTTCTTTATTCATGGTGACTTACTGCATTCACACAATGATCTAAAAATCAGTCAAGAAACATAACTTGAAGTTGAAAAATTAGGAAGTGCTAGGTGTCACAGTAAGACGCCACACAAATGATTGTGCAACTCCAAAAAATAGTTTGTGTCCACCACGAGACAGCAGGAGGCGTCTTCCACCTGGACGCAGCGTTTACACTGCAGCCTTTGACTGTGACACTCAGCGGTGGACTTATTGTTTTGACACACAGAACAAAACAACTACACACTAACTACACACTCCAGACACGCTAAACATCTCAAATCTCTCCCATCGATATCCCGACTCTCTCCCACAACTTTGACCTCTTCCTAAACAACAAAGGTCACATTCAGCCATATCGTTTTTGGATTGGTGCATTTTTCCACCAATAGGAAAGGGGAGGCCTTTTTCCTTGGTGTGTTGTTGTTGTTAGCGCGGCCATGTTCACTGTTCCTTCCTGCACTAAACATATAGTATTTAGAAAAAAGCAGTGTGTGGATGTTTTATCATAACTCTGGTGTAACCTGGCCTATCAGCAACATGTAAAAACTGCCATGTAGTTTAACTTTAACCATAAGTTAAACAGAGACTCCGCAGAGTCGCATCTTGTTACTATGTCATCTTAAACCGGTCACATGACTTGCGGGCACCGGCGTGTCCATCGACCCCAGAGGGTTAATAACACACCTTCACCCACGCCACCACAGTGGGTGAAGGTGTGTTCCAACTTCCAGTTAATAGGTGACCGGCTCTACTTACAGGAAACCTTTCATTTAAGCATTCATGTGGCCAATCCCAAACTCCCCCATGATGGTTGGGATAGGCTCGAGCCAGGGAACAGCATCTGTCCGTCCATCCTTTAGGTGTGGATGGTTTAAACGTGTGGCCTCATTGACTCAGGCTTGCTGTGGACATTCAGGGGAAGTGCTGCGTCTTCAACAGTGTTTAAGTGGCACAGTGAAGTCCACATGAATGCTTAAATCAAAGGTTGCCTGCAGCTCAGGAAGTACAGTCGGTCACCTACTAATTGGAAGTTTGGTGGTTCGATCCCCGCGTGCTCGCTAAAGTCTGCATGCCAAATATCGTTGGTCAAGACACTCCGATGGATGCATCAGAGTATGAAACAGAGGATAGAAAAAACTCGTGTGAATGAGGCAAAATTGCTTTGAGTCCTCTGAGCAGAAAAGCGTTATACAAGAACCGTTTACCCTGTAACAAGATGATCAGTTCACCTACCGTTGGTTTCAGAGTCATACTGACAGTGCACTGTGCTGAAAAACTGTTAAAAGCAGAAAAACAAGGTGACTGAAAGTTTGTGAAGACGTTTCATTTAAGAGGCCAGTCACTCTCCAGACACGACCTTCAACCGTAGTACCTCTGACTCTTTTCTGGTCTGGGTACTAATTATTTTGTCATTGATGCTTCATTGTTACCGCAACTCGATGAGTCAGACATTTATTACCAAACAAACGTCTGTTTCTGGTGGCTTGAAACATCTACTTTACCTTTACGGTTCATTCCCATCTGAAGGCACTTAAGCAGGCGGCAGTACTGGCAGCGGTTGCGCTGCTTGCGTGACATCTCGCAGTTTTTGTCCCGGCTGCAGCGGTACACACGCTTGTTGCAGATGCTGCGCTTGAAGAAGCCCTTGCAGCCCTCGCAGGAGATGATGCCATAGTGCAGGCCTGTGGCGCGATCTCCACAGATAAGGCAAGTACGCTGGTCAGTTGGATCATCTGCAGATGGAAGGAGAGTGGGCACAGGAGAGGGTTTAGAGCCATTTCCATCAGCGTCTTTACAGTAATTCATCTAAAGCTTAAAAAAGGGAGTGGGAGCAAAAACCTTGCTGAAGGCACACATTTTTAATTGAAATCACGAGGGCGGCTGGGGCTTAAGTGCTAGCCAGGCACTGGATAATCCAAAGGATTCTTAAGCTCCAACTCTCATTTAGTGAAAGTGGAGGTATAACAGGCAGTACGATGAGAGAAACGTCTGCAGGTCTGAATGAGGACACAGCTGGTTTGTTTGCAACACGTCCTTTCTCTCCTCTTCCCCACAGCAGTGTCTGATAAAAACGCTTCTCTTACAAGACACCTGACGCTAAAATGACACATTTCACAAAACCTGCTTCAGGTAACAATATGTGACAGTATTACTGTACCCAGCACCTGTTGCATCCTTAGTGTTAGCACAGATGTTCCACACAGGCGGCCCCTCAATCATTAACCTGCATTCTGTTTCCTTAAAGAGCGCAGTTTCAGCTGATTGCTTCAAACAATGAAAAGCAGTTAGGAAGGGAGGTGGTAGGAACCCGTGGGGAAAGGGCTCACACGTATTTGATGTTCTGGATAAAATGATGTAAAATCAAAGTTAAAATGATACCAATGAGTGTTTGTAAGCCTGGTGTGGCAGCTGGCTGACCAGGAGTGAGGGAAACGAGGAATACAGCATGAAGGAGGGGAAGAGGATGAAAGAGCCAACACAGGACCATCCTTGTGAAGCTACACTTTGTTAATCACAGAGCTACTCTCAAACTGGAAAGACAGCAATTTGAGGAAGCTGCTGAAAATCTTCCCTTAATCCTCCATCTACCTCCAGGCCACAGAACGCACATAATGAAGCTTAAGTTACAGCGCGTGTTCTCGGCTGCTCGCAGAGTTAAGCCTCATCACACACGCACACACACA